CAAGGACAACTACGGACTGGTGTCGTACGGGAGGTTTTCTGACGGCACAAGTGACGACTTGTGAGTCCTTTACCCGCCGTCTCAAATATCCCCTCATACATCATGGCCTTTAGTCCAAAAAATCCGTTCCCGTCTCCGACAGCTGCTGGCTAAAAAACGATATTGCCTTCTACGTGGCGGTGGTGGCCTACTTCTGCGTCGTCTTCCTGTTCAACTTGATCGTGTTGGTGGTGGTGCTGGTCCAGCTGCAGAAGATCAAGCGGCAGAACCCGCACAACTCGCAGCACCGCTCCACCGGCCAGGACGTGCGCAGCGTGGTGGGCGTGACCATCCTGCTGGGCCTCACCTGGGGCTTTGCCTTTTTCGCCTGGGGGCCCGTCAACCTGCCCTTCATGTACCTCTTCGCCATCTGTAACGCCTTCCAAGGTGAGACGCGGGAGCTTCACCCCCAAAACAAAGACTTATTTATCTTCCGATGAAAACTGTGCACATTTGGAAATGTGTTGACCGGTGTCATTTAACGCTTGAAACCCACAATTCAAATCAGTCATCACCTTTTTCGGTACAGTGAAACTCCTCTACAACGAAACCTACATGGGCGAAAATACCCCCTAGTGTGAAAAAATCTTCATGCATTAAAACCATTCCTACTCTCCTGCCCCCCCATACAACGAAAAAAAAACCCTGTTGCGTTATACGAAATCTTTTTCTCTGTGCCGCTCGTGTGCGTCCACACTCACATGCGTCCTCGTTCGCAGGTTTCTTCATATTTGTGTTCCATTGTGCGGTGAAGGACGTGGTGAGGAGGCACTGGCGGGCAAACCTCTGTTTCGGAAAAATGAGGCTAGCTGAGAACTTGGGTAACATTTTGAGTTTTCCCAAAAGTTGTTCAGTTCATACCTGCTTGGTGTAAAGTCAAAGAATTTAAAGTTGGGGATGAGATGAGACGCGTGTCATAGCTCAGCTCACCGGAGTTTGTCCCCCTTTCAACAGAATGGAGTCGCACGGCAACGCAGATGGTGAAGAGAGCCTCAGTGAGCGGACCGCCGTCCAACAACTCATCGGCTTTCCTCCGTCACAACTTGGAGCAGACTCACGGCATAGGTCAGCTAGAAATAGAAGTTCACTGTCTCTTCTGTGGCTTTCCTGTTTTTTTTTTTAATGACAGGGATGTTTTGCTTCAGGAAATCCGTTGGAAGACAGAATCATCACCGCTGACGAAGAATCCCGCTCGGACGTCGTTCTTGACGACAGGGAGCAGGGAAACCATCAAATGCCCTCACGCACACATTCGTATTATACTTAATAAGCAATATTGTCAGTTTTTTAAAAGACCGTTTTTTTATATTTGCGCTTGTCAGAATCCTTAAAAGCTGAAACGCACACTTTGTTCTTTCAGAGTTTGTGACACAAACGCATGCATTCATCCGTGAGGATTCGTTCCCCAAAAGTATTCACCACCAAAGCACTTTAGGCGTCAAGAAGATTTGGAGCAAGCACTTTAACCTTCTCACACATTCTATTTTGTTTATTCCTGAACAAAGGGTATTTGTTGAAGAGGGTTTTTAAAAATGTCTCAAGCTGACAGGCTTATTCATGACAACATTTCCCGTTGTTCCTCTTCTTCTTTGCATTCACTTTATAAGGGCCCTTTTGGTTCCTGTGTATTATTGCCATTTTCTTCCCTCCACCAAAGACAGTTTTAGCCAAGCGAATCCAGTAATGACTATTTCATCATTCGGCTTTGAAAGTTGAAAACAAGCATAGTTGTAAAATGTGACTGAACCCTGCTGCTATCGTCGCAGCTCTTCCAACACAACCACATCAAACGAGAATGGAAATGATAACATGCATTTTACTGACTTCCTGTTCTTTAATGACCAATTAACATCTCACCCAAAGCCAAACCCATTGGGTTCGTGTGAGTGAATCGCAGCTCCTTGTTTTTACTTTTTTAGATGCTACTTTTTAACGCTTGAGACATTTACATGACGTCAGCTTCACATGCTTTTTCAAAAATACAGAGGCTTTCTTTCATTCAAGTTGATTAAATATTTGTCTGGGGAGAAAAAAAAATACTGTAGTCCAGGGGTGTCAAAATTACGGCCCGCGGGCCGGATCCGGCCCGCAAAGGAGTTAAATCCGGCCCGCGAGATGATTATGTAAAGCAATGTGTCAAACATACGGCCCGCGGGCCGGAACCGGCCCGCAAGGAGGTTCAATTAGGCCCGCAGGATAATTTAAAAGTGAAAAAAAATGCATTAAAGACAGAATTAATATTTTTAATAAGGTGCAATTCATTGAGTATCCACAAGGGGACACTGTAATGACAGGGATGTTTTGCTTCAGGAAATCCGTTGGAAGACAGAATCATCACCGCTGACGAAGAATCCCGCTCGGACGTCGTTCTTGACGACAGGGAGCAGGGAAACCATCAAATGCCCTCACGCACACATTCGTATTATACTTAATAAGCAATATTGTCAGTTTTTTAAAAGACCGTTTTTTTATATTTGCGCTTGTCAGAATCCTTAAAAGCTGAAACGCACACTTTGTTCTTTCAGAGTTTGTGACACAAACGCATGCATTCATCCGTGAGGATTCGTTCCCCAAAAGTATTCACCACCAAAGCACTTTAGGCGTCAAGAAGATTTGGAGCAAGCACTTTAACCTTCTCACACATTCTATTTTGTTTATTCCTGAACAAAGGGTATTTGTTGAAGAGGGTTTTTAAAAATGTCTCAAGCTGACAGGCTTATTCATGACAACATTTCCCGTTGTTCCTCTTCTTCTTTGCATTCACTTTATAAGGGCCCTTTTGGTTCCTGTGTATTATTGCCATTTTCTTCCCTCCACCAAAGACAGTTTTAGCCAAGCGAATCCAGTAATGACTATTTCATCATTCGGCTTTGAAAGTTGAAAACAAGCATAGTTGTAAAATGTGACTGAACCCTGCTGCTATCGTCGCAGCTCTTCCAACACAACCACATCAAACGAGAATGGAAATGATAACATGCATTTTACTGACTTCCTGTTCTTTAATGACCAATTAACATCTCACCCAAAGCCAAACCCATTGGGTTCGTGTGAGTGAATCGCAGCTCCTTGTTTTTACTTTTTTAGATGCTACTTTTTAACGCTTGAGACATTTACATGACGTCAGCTTCACATGCTTTTTCAAAAATACAGAGGCTTTCTTTCATTCAAGTTGATTAAATATTTGTCTGGGGAGAAAAAAAAATACTGTAGTCCAGGGGTGTCAAAATTACGGCCCGCGGGCCGGATCCGGCCCGCAAAGGA